ACATTGGGCCACAACAATACCGCCTTGATAAAATTTTTACATAGATATGAATATTTTTTAATCTTGTTTTGGGCAGGCCAGAGGAAGATTTAAGAAATATTGGTGTCGATCTCTCAATAAAATATACTCTCTTAAAAGGAAATACTTGTTCAACAAACGTAATAAAATTAATAAGGACGAATTATAAACTATATTTCTAATCAAATATAGAGTATTTAGAATCTTTTTCAAGTAAGTCATAGATTTTATGTACTTAAATCATATTATTTAAAATTTGAATTGTTTTCGTATGTAATTATGTTGACTATAATATAGTCATATTATGACGTGTAGTGTAAATCGTATACGTAGTGCATTTATTATCAGAATCAACATTGAATTACTTGCAATACTATTGCATTATGTGGACGTAAAATAAAAACAATTTAACTTATGCTTTCGAACCTCCAACAATCTATTGCGTAATAAACCATTAATAAATTAGTAAAAAAATTATATAAATTTACAAAAATTAAATATTTAATATTCCAGTATTCCATTCCCTATCCCTCCAAGTCTGATCTTATATTTCTTATATAATTTATATTTTTTATTTTATTTTTGGTTTATTACATACTTTACTAAAATCTCGATAAAAATTAAAATCATAAATGAATTAATAAAATGAGAGTAGTTAATAGTATTCTAAGTTTTATAATTATCAAAAAAAAATGTTCCTATTCCCTTATGTAATTTCTTCTTAAAGTTTTATTTACTCAAGTTTTTTAAATGGAAACATATATGTTTAATCAACTTAAAAACTAGACAATGATATGTCTAAGAAAATTATTGGTTGATAACAACTTTTGAGCCAGTATTTTGGAAGTTATTAACTCTTTAATATATTGACTGGAGGTAAACCGCGGGTGTATTCATTTTTATCTACAATCATTAATAAACTGTACTACTAACACAAGCCTTGTTACAAAAATTCTAAAATATTTGTCGAAAAATTGATATCGACCAGTTATTTTCTTAGATAAGTCAATCTCCAGTTTGTAAGTTGATTACATTTATGTTCCCATATAAAAAACGTAAAATACTATTAAATTATGAAAAGAAAAAAAAATATTTGTTTTATATTTAGCAAAATATTCTATAAGTTATAGAGTTAACCAATCACTATTTATTGTTTTTTCGATACTATAAAATTTATGATTTGTTACATAGCATGTATAACCGCATAAATTTCAATCGTGGCTGCTCAGAAGAAAAAAAATATTGAGAGAAGAAGTGAAAAATTATTTTTGCTAATATAATACCTTTTTTGATTATGTGATAATTTAAAAAAAAAATTTAACGTCGTTTTATAAAAACAACGGAAGTCATATGTACACAGTATTTACTACACACTGTTGTAAATTAACTCGTATTTAATAATCGTTTTAGACACTAACAGTAAAATATAGTAGACTCTAATGAAAAATGCAAATTTAAGATATGATGACAAGTCGGAAATATCTTGGTCTTTTTTGAGTGTCCTACAAAGAATTTGAATATGAATGCTGAATTTGAAATGTTTTATTTCACAACTTTTCATTTTTATACCTAAGTAACATCTGGTATGAAATATTATACATTTACATTTTAAGAAAGAAACTCCACGAAAACAAAAACATTTTTTGTGGGAGTAAGAAGGTGTAACAGCATAAATCAGTAATTCCAAAACTTCAAGTTTATGTTTTAATATTCGTTTCCAACACTAAAACCGCCGTTTATTCGAATTATTTTAAAACAATATATTTAATTAACATACAATATTTTTGAGACTACACAGGTGACACGGAACATCTGTGCTGAATGTTAATTCTTATTGTATAAAGGTGAAAATAATAATATACTAACACATAATTTCAATATACAATATTTGCATTGTAACATAACGTCAGGCATCAAATAAAATTTGCAATGAGAAAAACTTATTCGGAACTCTGAATAAGTTGGTTAAAACTTTGTTCTTTAAGCTATTTCATATTTATATATAATATAACGTAAAATTATAAACTATATTTGACATAAACAACTGACATCGCTAATTTTACAATAAGTACTATTTGGTTGTAAAACAAAAGTTGTTATTACCAAATCGTCAATACTATATTACCATTATCATTAACAATAGAGTATATGAATTAAAGATTAAAAACGTTAGTTTATCAAAAATTACATTTTATTCAACAGTACCAACAGTTTTAATTTTTGTAGTATTATTATTTAGGTATTATTATAAATTAATATATTTTTAACAAAATAAAAAAGGTATAAAAAATTGACGTTTAAATGAGTTATGGGTTTTGGAACAATATTTTCGTTTTGTTCCGGAACAAAACTTTAGAATCTAAATTTTATATTTTTAGTAAAAGTTATTCATCTTAAAATGTTTGACTTTGAATGTCCCATTAATTGAACTAGATAGTTTTCTTAGGTAATGATAAAGTAATTTTAGCCTTGATGCAAAGATGAAAAAATATTAATTTTAAAATGTGTTTTTTTTTATCACAACTCTCACCGAACCGATTTCTTTCAACGATACCTCAAAAAATCACAAATCGTATCTAGTCG